TGAAAACTACTGTGAAAACTGCTGCACGTGATAGATTCTGAGCAGGGTGTGTGAGGGGTTACTGAAACTGTGTTGTGGGTACCAAAAATGCCTCTCTCTTGTTTCCTTCTAGGAACTTTATATTGCCGTGGGAATATCTGGAGCAATCCAACACTTGGCTGGAATGAAAGACAGCAAGGTAAATAAAGGTGGAGGTGCTAGAAGAGATTTTTGAGGAAGGAAATGAGTTGACTTCCTTGCTTTTGCATCAGCGCTTCAGATGGTTTTCCACCTTTTTTTAATGTTAAAATTGCCCATTTCTCTGCTGCTTTAAAACACACTTGGACAGAAAAAAATATACTGTGGCAAAACATCTCACATAGTAGGAAAACATTTGCACTACAACCCAAAGTGATAAGTTGAAGCAGCTAATTGACTTTGTTTAAAAAAAACCCCAACCCAAACCACGTATGCCTGAATTCTATACAATAGTTCCATTTGCCTTTATTCCAGAGTATGACATATTAATTCATGCATAACAATGTGCAATTTGAATTATGAACTTACTATTCCATAAAGTAAAAGATGTCTCTGACATTCCTGCATTTAGCCATTCAAATGGAAACCTATTATAAAATGGCAGTAAAACTTTAAAAGGTTTAACTCATTACTTGCCAAAGCAAATAATCCAAAATTGGAATTGCCAGTTTGGTCTACAGTGCAGTGTTTGGAAAGAGGAGCAGAGTTACCTGCTGATTTATACTATCCAATGTCAGACATCAAAAACTGGAGGTTGTCCTGCCTCCCCACAGGAATTTTAAAAAGAGGATATAATTTTTTTTTTCTATTTCCAGTGAATGAAATTAGCCAAGCCAGAACTTTGATTAGCTTATAAAGCTGAGGAAAAGGGTTGCAAAACTTTACAGGTAGTTTCTTGTGTTCAACCAGTGACAGACCAGTGAGTTTGTGACTGACAACTGTCCTCACAAACCAACCTGTGTGGTAGGATGATCTCTGCTTTCCTAAAATTTTTTTGCCATGTATTACTGAAATATTTTGGAGGGAAAGTCAAGTAAGCTGCATTTGGGGCCTCAGCCTTGTAGGAGCAGAGACTCAGGTGGTGTTTGCATCAGTTTTATAGTGGAGAAAAACCCACCAAACGTGGAACTGTGACGGTGAATGCTGGGCAGGGATGAGGTGCTCTGAGGGTGTGGGTGGCAGTGTCTGTGCTCTCAGCAGAGCAGGGTCACTGTGCTGTGTCCTGCTCTCAGAGCAGGAACCAGGGGCTTTGTCTCCAGCTGTTCAGTCTCCAGCCATGGGCAGGTGGGATGAGGAGCAGCTGAGAACTGGGTATTTAAAGCTGACCCTGTTCGTGTTTCTCTCCTGCCTTATCTCAGTTCAGACTGCCAGCAACGCTGGGAACTTCTTACTTGAAGTGCCAGAATTTCCTTTGATATATATTGAGCAGTAATATTGTCCTGAACTGTAACAGCAAAACCAGATTTTTTTGGCTTTTCCAATGCTATGTTTGATATTTTGAGATGTTTTCTTATAGGAAATAAGAACAGATTAAATTTGCTGATATGAGATGCATACTTAACACTTCCATTTCTCCCATATCTCATAAACAAATGTGTTTTAAAATTCAGATTCAGTTACTTGTGTTTGGAATGCATTCTGCCTTCCTTTTAGCTGAAGGATATAGATGGAGTAGTTATGGAAAAGATCCAGTTTTCACAAACAAAGCATTATGCAGCCTGGGAGCTCTGGAGTGTCCCCCATCCTCCCTCAGCACTCTGAATTATCTGGCATTGTGAACTTGTACACTTCAGGATACGTTTTCCAAAGCAGTCAGATGCTTTCTACCAAGTGAAATGTATAATTTATTTGTTCTTTACAGCAAGGTAGGAAATGCAGCTTTTGAGGAGACCTGGAGAATCGTTGGTGCTTTCTTTCCTTATTTCCAATTCCCTCGGGAGACAGTTACTGTATCTGTTCTTTCTGAGAGATTTAACTCACAAAGTTCTGTTGTGAGCGAGGTGATGCTCTCGCTGCTTAAAGTCTGAGTTAGTAATGAGGTAGGGAACCAAATCTTACTAAAAGGTTGCCCAGGATGCCCAACTAAAGCTTCAGATAGGTTTGCAAGCAGTGGGTGTTGTGCCAGGAGCAGAGCTGGCAGCTCCTGTGGTGGCACTGACTGCTGGCCTCGGCCAGCCCTCAGCACTGGCCCCTGTAGGTGGTTCTGCAAGACATGGCAGGGCCTCAGTAGGGTCAGAGAAGAGTCTTGACTGACAGAATCCTCGGGGATCACAGCCTGGATTTGCTTCCTGCACTGCAGCTTGTCAGGGGAGGTTTGCATTTGCAAACAGTCACTGAAATAAAACCAATCAGCTGTGGGACAAACACTGAAGGGCAGCGTTGCTGCAGGGCCTCGGCAGGGGCAGCACTGCTGTGGGCACTGCCTGCTGCCAGGTAGGATGGGGTCCCTTACAGGGTACAGCCACCTGTGAAGAAACAACAGTTCTGTGGGCCTGGAATCACAGGATTTGCAAACTTTCCTGCCAGTACACCTGAGGCAGTGATTTTGCTGGACAAGTACTTTCCGTGGAGCAGTAAAACAGTGACAGGTGAAGTGCTGCTCTCTGGGCGTGGCCCGTGAGCTCCTCAGCTGCCTGTTGGGTTGGAGCTGTCCTGGATGGGGAGGTTGGTGCCTTGAGTCAGTGTTTAGGTGGGCAGGCAGGACCAGAGTGCTGTGGTTTGGGCCCTGCTTGGTGTAAGGCTCCTTCTATGAGCTGCTGGGTTTTGTTTAAAATTCTTTTCCCTTCCTTTATGAAGTGTTCCCCATCCTGTTGTAGATTTTGATGTGGACACCCACCATGCTTATTTTGCTGAAAGCTGTCACAGTTACAGGATGATTTACTTGTATGGCACAGTTTAAATCAAGACATTTTCTGGATCATTGTGCTGGGATTTGTCACATGCCATTTTCTATGGTCTGACAAACTAAATGCTATGTCCTACAGTAAGTACAGAAGCCTTTGGGCAGGGCTTTATTGTGCTTGTTGCAACTGCTGCCCTTTGAGTTAGTTCTGCAACGGAATGGCTTAGAATGCACAGATAATCCTTTGTAGTAATTGTTTTTTCTAGGCTTTTCAACAGGGAAGGAGAGCCAAGATGAACAGGGAAGGGAGCGTTGTTTTTTTGGGGTGTGGTGGTGGGGTCTTTGTTTTTGAGATGGAAAGGAAAAATGTTAAATGCTCTGATCCATATCTTCTGCTTCTGGGGGCTTGGAAAGACTAAAACCTGTGTTTCCTGGATAAGACATGGCACTGTAATCCAGCCCCAGATATTAATCAATATATAGATTCACGTGGTGCTTTACCTTTGCTTGCAGACCATTGTTGCTATTAACAAGGATCCAGAAGCTCCAATTTTCCAAGTGGCAGATTATGGACTGGTGGCAGACTTATTTCAGGTGAGGCTAAACTTGATGTGCAGGATGACTTTGGGAGAGTGGACAGCAGCTTGCGTAATATAATCTAATGAGTGTTAACGATGTCTGTGTGTGTTTGCTTTGGTTGTTCTTAAAGAATTTGTTTTCTAAATTTGTTATTTGCACACTCAAAATTCAATCCCTGCAAGTGGAAACATGTTGGGGGGCAGGGGTGTCACTGCCAGCCTGCCTTGATTCTGGTTTCCTGAACATGAACCACTTTGGAAATAACTGCACAGAGGCGCTTGCCTCTGGTTTTAACCTTCAGAAAGTTTGGAAGCAGAGAGTTGGCAGGAGAGTGTTTATTGCTGCCTGGGCTTGCTGCCTCACTGACTGATGCCCAGGAGGAGCTTGCAGTTCCCTCTGGAACAGGGAGCCATGAGCCAGCCCCTGTCCAAGTGCCTGCAGCTCACATGTGTGACTCCGTGTGCGTGGCCACACGTGTGACCGGCGGGGCATGGGCAGAGCCTGTGCCAGCACTTAATGCCATTCCTGAAATGCTGCCCGCTGGCTCCACAGTGAGCACGGGCCTCTTTGTGAGCCACAGACAAAGTCACATTCTGAAGAAACACCATGTAGACAATTTCCTTAATAAATTTTGTACGAATGCATTATTTCCACCTAATGGAAATGTAGCTCTCTTAAATAATTAAGAGGCTTTATTCAGCAGGAGAGAAGTGGGGAGTGCTGTGAGCTGGGGTGACCCACAGCCCCTGGAGTGGTGTGGTGGGTGGGGAGTGTAACTGCGGGGTTTGGTACTGCCCAGGGTGAGTCTGGGGGGGTCACAGGGGAAGATGCACTACCCTGGCACTGGTGTTTGCAGGCGGTGCCAGAGATGACGGAGCTCCTGAAGAAGAAGTGACTGCTGGTGATGGACCCTGTACTGTGGAGTAAGGACAAATAAAGGATTGTACTGGAAAGAGGTGGGGTCACTGGTGTTGGGGTTTTGTGGGTTTTTTTGGTTTTTTTTTTTTTTGATGGTCAGTTGGATGGCACGTGGAGTGGTGGGGTGTAAGAAAGGAAGACAGGGAAGGCAGGTAAGAGAAGAAAGGAAGGGAAGAATGAAAAAGGAATGGAAGAGGGATAGAAGGCAGGAGGCAGCATGGATTTGTCAGTATTTATTCCCATCTCCTCACCCCTCCCAGCCATGCTCAGCCCCTGGGTAGGGTCAGGCCGGGGGGCCAGGCTGGGCCCAGGCTGTCCAGCAGCTCTGTCTGTGGGGCTGTGCTGGCCCTGGACTGGTGGCAGTTCCATGGTGTTCCCAGGCATAGTTTGTTTGCCCCCCCAGGCACTGTGGGTCCATGTCAGCCCAAGTCTGCTGGAAGGTCCTTTGTGCCCAGACAGTCACCACAGGTCCCAGCTGGCCCAGAGCTGGTGGCAGGGCAGGTGGATCATGTGCCACGGACGCTGGTGAGCAGAGGTGGCACTGGCCTCGCCCTGGTGGCCACTGCAGGAGATGCCCACAGGTTGCCTTCGGCGCTGCCACGTCACCCGTGGCAGCCTCGTGACCCAGCGCGGTGAGCGTGTCCCCGCAGGAGTCCCCATTCCCCCAGGCTGTCCCTATGCCTCGGGAACCCTGCCCAGCCGTGGCTCTGGGGGCCCCAGCGCTCCATATTTCTCCTCAATCATCGGGGCGCTCGGTGGGCAGTCGATGAGTGGCTTGAGCTGGAAGACGTCGAGGCTCTCCTGGTTCCTGCGGTTGTAGACGCTGAGCCGGTGGCCCAGGTCGGGGCTGGCCCCCACCGAGCCCGCGGGGCTGGGCAGCTTCAGGTTGACGGGATCCAGCCCCTTCTGCGCCAGACACGCCTCTTCCGACAGGGACGAGAGCAGCTCCTGCACCACGGCGTGGGTCACCCGCTGCCGGGCGGGCGCCGGGGCCGCCGGGGCGGGCTCCTCGCAGGCCGTGCTGCAGTCCGGGGAGGAGCCCAGCGTGTGGCTGCTCTCGCTGCAGGCCTGGGTGCCCGAGCTGACGGTGGAGCGCGAGGCGCTGCCCGACGTGATGCTGGCCGAGGTCCCGGTGCTGCCCAGGCGCAGCGGCACCTCCACCGTGAACAGCTCCGAGGAGATGTTGGGCCGGTGCACGTCGATGGCGGCCGTGGTGACCACGCAGATGGCGGCCTCGGGGACACCGCTGTCTGCAGGGAACAGAGCACACACTCAGACCGTGGCAGGAGTGCCCTATGCAGTGCCTACAGAGGGGTGAATATACCTGTGGTACACTACAGCTGGGTGCACAGAGGCATGTGGGACACACACTATAGCACATAGTCCCCCTTTAACACACAGCACTGCCTGTCTGTCTCAAAGGGAATAGTAACACAATTGAAGCCTTTTTCTGTACAAAATGTATGTTTGTATATAGGGGGAGCAGATGTAGAGGGATACACAGCTACAACTAATACTGTATACCTATATGTGTGTGTATAGGTCACACACAAACATCTCTAGTTTTATCATGTAGATCGATAAAGGGCAGGTATGTACAGATGTGTAATATATATGTATAATATAGACACACCTATAATCCATTCTACCTGCATATGTACACAGTCAGTCAATAGATACTTATTGGCCACAGCCCCTCCCTTTAAATACTCGTAATTAGCTACTGTTAAAACAGAATGCAAACACACCCACACTCCTACTTGTCTTTATATATGTGTGTGTGTGTGTGTATCTATAGGGGTATACATATATATATATATATATATATATACACACATTATACCTATAGGTGAACACCCCCCACTATATGCAGACAGTCTTTAAATTTTGCATGCACACATATGGATACATAAAAGGTGTGTGTGGCTCCTTATTTGTATGCTGGGGGTGTCTTTACAGGGATACACAGCTGTACATAATGCCATTTACCTGCATAGCTATGTGAACACACACAGTACATACACTACAAAGGTGTATATATGCAGTGTCTCACACATCCAATCATCATCTTTTTATATAGACATGAGGAATTGTGTCTGTGTGAGCCCCAGATAGTGTACATTATACACACGATATGTAGTGCCCTGCACAACCCTCATGTTTCTCTGTATCTGTATTTATGGGACAGATATGTATGTAACAGATTACACCTATGCATGAACACGTCCTGCTACATTTATGTAGCTGTTCATACACAGGTATGGACAGTCTTTATACCCAGTACCATTCTATAATGGGGATGAACATAGATAGCTCTGTAATATATACACCTCTATAAGCAATGCCATATACCAACCTGCCTCTGTCTCTATATACATCTGCACGTTTTCTACAATGTAGGTATGTCTATATAGTCTCCTGTCACACACACATATATATGTAATACATATATATAGATTTATCTTTAAGACCCATATATAACACAGTGTATATACATATGACAGACTATGTAATACAGGGTCCCCCCTTAAATACATTTAATTACCTATAAATAGAACACATATGCTCTCACACACCTGTACTTACCTTTATGTATAAGTACATGTGTTTCTCATTGTGTGTGTATAGCTGGGGAATGTATGTACAGGGATATAGAGAATACACTGTACCTATACAGGAACACCCCCTCTTTACAGACTTTAAGTGTGTGTGTGTGTGTGTGTGTGTATATATATGTATATATATATATAAATTTTATATATATATACATACACACACATACACATGTACCTTTTTATAGCCTTCCAAGTATGTTATGGGGATGTATACAGAGGGAAACACATCTCTATATAATACCACATAACCTCTCTATACGTGTGTGCACACATACGTGTAATAGTTATATACACAGTCTCTTGCCCACCTTATTTTATATATACATAATTTTTATATATAGATTTAACCATATAGATGTGGGAAGAGCTGTTGCTATGTGTATACATACAACTAAAGCAATACATTAGACCTATACACAGATACATGCAGATAGTATATATATAGAGAGAGAGAGAGTACATAGTTGTCATCCTCCCCCTTTGAAAACATAATTATCACTCTTTATAAATAGAGTATATACACTTATACACAGGTACACTTATCTTTGTGTATAAATATTTACATATTATGGTCTGTATATGTGAATCTGGAATGTATATACAGGAATATGCATATATAACATGTATCAAATAACGTATACATATTATAAATAACACATTATATATGACACCTCCAACCTTTATACATCTTTTAAATTGTATACATACACCATCTTATATATAGCCAAGTTTACTATGGGGATATATATACAGCAATGTACCATATATAATACAACATATACCTATAAACATGTGCACAAATGTACATATGGGTGTTTGATAAATAAAATACTCCCTTTAAATACATAAATTTTTTTGTCTTTAACTAGAATACACCCCCCCATATACTTTATGTAGAAATATATATGTGTGTGTGTGTGCATACATACACAGGGAATGCCTATATAGAAATCTACATATATAATACATTATACTTAAGCACAGCCACATCCACGTTACACTTAACACCTGTTAGACATATAAAATTATATGTACCCCCCTTTTAATGTCCCTCCATGTATATTATGGGCATATACATCTATAAATATTACCATATACCTGTGTGTATATATATATATTATATAGATATATGTACACACACACATACATACATATAAGTAATATACATAGGTATATATACAGTGTCTCTCACAGACCTATTTTTATATACACATAATCTTTACACGTACATTTATCCATATAGCTAGGGGGAACAGTTGTGTATATACTTGCCCCATATATGGTACATAATGCATGTATATATATGATGCTTACATATTTATATGTCTGTATCTCTGTATATAGGTGTGGAATGTATATACAGGGATGTATGAGAACACACACACACATATAATGTTATGTATACAGGTACACAGACGTGGTCCCTCACACCTCTTCCTCCTTTTCTTAGCCATACATACACCTAAACCTATGTAGAGATTCATCCATCTTTATATGTATAGTCCTGTATAGACTGGGGATGTATATAGAGGGAGATACACAAATAAAGACAATATTTTATACCTCGTACATGTGTGCATGTACATTTTTTAAATAGGTATGTATCATTTACGTGTGTATGGATACAGAGGTCTTCTCTCACACACACAGATTTTATTTACCCCTATACACAGCTTCCTATAGACACATCCATATTTATAGAGGGAACATCTCTAAGTTTCCCCTTCACAATATATCTACATATGTACACGCATTTTATGTATTATAATATATGTCTCTATACACACTGAAGTATTTTCTCTTTTATATACACTATATATGTATGTAAAGAGGCTCTCACATACCCACCCATATCTATCTCTTTACATATATTTATACATATATAAAATACCTATGTAGGTCCACACAGATCTTGATCTGCATTTTTATCTGTCTGCATATACACACATAAACTGCTTTATTTATACACACATAGTTCAGATATAAAATATATCCATAATACAGATTACAAAGACATGTATATGCAGTCTCACACCTTTCTAAATATCTATATAATTGTGTTTTAGAATAAGATATATGCACACACATACACCTACAGATATATCCATGCTATAGGTAAAATATACATATTAAAAATACATGTATATAGTCACACACCTTTTTTTTGTTTTATATATATATATAAAATCTAAAATATGTATATACAGTTTCTGTCATACATATCTATATGTATTTATTCCCATATATATAGGACAGACATATATACACACATCCCCCACTTTATGTATCTTTATATAGACTAATACATGTATCCACACATAGCCATGTCTTTATATGTAAGTACATATATCCATGTATGTATATGCATATAGATACATGATACATTACAGCTGTATATGCACACACATTCATGTATGTACAGACACAGTCATGCACAAACACCTTTAGAGATCTTTAAATCTATAGAAACACATGCAGCCATACTCATACACACATACACATAGCTTAGCCTGCAAATAGCTATAGGGAAGCTCTCTTTAGCAAGCACCTGTATCTCCCCATGTGTATCAGTGTGGGGATGTATCTACACATATACACAATATACAGATACCACAGAGGCACCTTCAGAATCATCTCAGTCCCCCCTGCCACGGGCAGGGACACCTTCCCCTAACCAGCTGTCCAGCCATTTCCACCCTGCCTTGGTTCACTTCCGAAAAGGGGCAGCCCGTGCCAGGGCCTCCCCACCCTGCCAGCTCTCCCAGCCTGGCTCCAGAGCAGAGGGGCTCCAGCCCTTGGAGCAGCTCCGTGGCCTCCTCTGGACTCGCTCCAGCAGCTCCACGTCCTTGTGCTGTGGGGCCCAGAGCTGAGGCAGCTCTGCAGGGGGGTCTCACCTGAGCAGAGCAGGGGCATGGCCAGGTCACATCGAGCTGCTCATCCCTGACACCGCCGGGTCCTTGTGCTCAGGCTGCTCTCGATCCCTTCAGCCCCCAGCCTGTGCCTGTGCTTGGATTGCCTGGCCCTGATGAATTCCAGGAGGTTTGGCTCCTGGATGCCATCCCTGTTTACAGCCACACACGCTTCTATTTATGCTTCAGTTACATACACAACTACACCTGTCTCCATGGGTGTGGATGTGTACATGGGAATAGAAATATATAATACATTATACATAGATACACATTTTTATTTCTGTAATTATATACACATGTATTCAGACCATCTCTCCTCTCAAACCTCCCACTCCTTTACATAGATCTTTATGTATTTTATATATCTAATATATGGAGTTTAATAAAATATCTGTGTATGTACACAGACACAGCCTCTCCCACATCTTTATCTATGTAAAGATATATATATGTATATCTTGATCTATATAGAAAAGGCACACCTACATATATATGTATATAAATCTGCTCACATATACACACATGTATGTTTGTATGTGTTGTGTGTGTTTGGAGACATGTACCTCATACATCTCACACACAAACACACACACACACACATATATTTACATACATCTTTATATATGTATGTGTATCCAGGTTTGTGTGCCTATATGGGATATATATATAATACATTATAGATTTATATGCATACACATATACACACATTTTATATATAACACATATATACAAAGACACATCCTTATATAGATATCTCTATATAGATATATCTATAGATATCTATATATGTCTATATTTCACTGTATGCATACTATATATATGGATGAACATATGGGATAAACACATGTAATTATAATCATAAATATACACACACACTCATGTGTATATAAATACACACTTGTATATATGTACATGTATATGCAGGCACACACATCTTTTTTTTTGTTCCCTATAACCCCATGTATATATGGGGATGTGTATATGGAGATATACATTTATAACACACTATACTTAAAGACAAACATTTTCTAATGTATGTACAACATTTTAGGTACATAAGGGGAGTGTGCACCCCTGTGCCTGCGGGACTCCTGCCAGGGGACATCCATTTGAAGGCTGCCCTGGGGTCACAGACCCTGCTAGCTGCTGAGGTTTCTTACCATTCAGTTTAACCTTTCTGAAAGGTTCCCAGCATGGTGCTGGGCTAAGCTGCCTCCCCACTGCTTTTCTCTTCATTTATTTTGTCCATGCTTTTCATTCTTGGGTCCATTTGAACTGCTCTGGGGGCTGGACAGCCTGGCTTAGGGGGAATTAACCTCTCCCAGATCTCCAAACTATTCTGAGTGCCTTCAGCAGGAGCAAACTTGGGGCCCTTCAACCTTCAGAGAACTGCTGACACACACTTCATGGAGCAAACCAAGAGACTCTATGGTAGGTTTCCTTTCCAGGACAGATCTACATCCCTGCTCAGTCTCTCCTGGCTTACAGCACACAGTGCAATGCAAACACAGAGTTCATGTTTGTGTTTTCAAGCAAAACTTACCAGTGCTGGGCTCGTTGTAGTATCGACTGATGTAATTGTTCATGTCATCCTCTGAAAGGATAAAAAGGCAGCTGTTAGAAGACAGTTTGTGTCATTAAATGAACTGCATCCCATGGAAGGCTCTCCTCAGCCCTGCACACCCAGAGCACCACCTGTTCTGTGTCTTAGGCCACAAGACCTCAATGCACTAAAGCCCCCATCCCATCCATGCTGTGGCTACAAGCCAACATAGGGTTGGACTATCATTTGTCACAGTTCTTCACGGCACCACACTGGGAATGAGGCATTCTGGGTTCCAAAGGAAACGTGCTCTGTGGTCTTTCCAGAGACTGGCACGGGGCTGACCAGTTCCCCAGGCCTAGCCCCTCACTGTTGTAAAGACAAGTCTAACACTGGTTTTTCCCTGGGCAGCAGGGCCCTCCCCTCCTGCACAGGGCACACGGAGAAACCTGGTATTTATCCTGACCCAAGGGCACTGGCACAGACAGACCCACTCCTGCTGTACATTGACACCTCCGAGTTACCTCCTTCCCCATGGTGACACCTCAGAAAGGGAGGCACCATGTACCAGTTTAATGTGTAATTCTCTACTTCTAAGATAAAGTCTTTTTTTTTTCATTTTGAATGAATGGAGAGTTATTTTGGTGTATATAACACATACATACAAAATATACAGCATAATGTTAACATTACATTCTAACCTACTAAAAAGAATTGTACAAATCAAGGGTGTAGTACATACACAAGAGCTACAGCTGTACTTCAGTAACAGCAAGTTACAGATGATGACGTGACCACAGAAGGGAAAGAAGCAGCCCTACTGCATGTACAGATTTTAGATGCTGCAGATGACACTGGGATTTGGTGTTATTTTACAGAAAAGCAGAACATTTTACCGTTGTGGAAAAAGCAAATAACAAACTCCTCTTGTTGCAGTTCTGAGCAGAAGGCAAACAGCATTGGCAGTCCAGGAGAATGTCAAGCTTACAAGCAACCTGACCTGCCCAATTTGCGGTGTATCTGCGCTCTAAAAGCATTCTCTCCTTTTAAGTGCTCTTTTTGATACCATGTTTCAGAAACCCATGCTCATCCCTTTGAGCCAGATTTCCTTCGTCCCCCTGGGTCTCTGTGGCTACAGTCCTGCCTCATCACAGCACATTGCGGTTTGCAGGTGAAAGAAACAGATGTTTTCTGGGGAACACTTTCCTCACACAACAAGACCCAAACCACCAAGCACTCTGTACCTGAAATAGCTGCACTCATAAGAAGGCAATCTAACCTGACACTGAAAGGCAATGTGGTTGTTTTCCTGGTTTCATTGGATCTTAAAAGCTTTTTCGGCCCTTGTTGATCTTTAAATGCCTGCAGTCAGAGGTGTGCTTTGTGCTAATGTCTGAGTTTAAAAAAGAGGCCTCAGAGTAGCTCAAGGCAATGCCGCTGAATTAGGAGTACATTGCGAGGCTTTCCAGCTATCTGCTGCTAAAATACACTTCATTTCAATCATGCATAATTGATACTCTCAGTGCCACCAAACCTTCCAGCCGTACAGACACAGGTTCGAGTTCAGGCATGGAACCTTCACTACATCAGGAAATACCCGTGTGGATGTACTTCTGGTAGGGCACTTTCAGCATATTTAACTTGGAGTCCAATTCTAAGCAGCCAAACAAGGAAAACAGCACTGCAGTGTGGCTGGATGAGGGCACGCTCTGTGTGCAGGGTCACCCTCCTTGTCACCTGGCAAGAGCCATGAAAGGGTTCCTCTGGCTCCCATTACAGTCTGCCCCAAATGCCAAGATGCTTTGCACCAAAGACAGAAAACAACTTGGAAAAGTTACTCACCTGCTTTTCAAGCCTTAAGACAAGGCTCAAATCAAGTCCTCTTTAGGACTGCACACGTTTACTGGCCACCTGTCTGTCAGCTAAACCAGGGCACTATTTCCAAAGAGATCAGTTGTGTTCAAACCAAAGAGGATCCAACTGGTCCTTATGTCAGCAATGCCAAGGCCCTGGGAAGGAAATCCAGTAATGCACTGCCTCAGCTCCCTTTGAGTGCTGAGGAGAATCACCACTGTCCTGACCCTGCATGTGACCACTTGCACACAAGGCTGGGGGAGCTGCCCAGCTGCCACTGTTACATTACTATGTGATGGCCTTATTAATGCAATTGCTTATCATTGCTTATCTATTTAGATACAAATAAAATATATATGCATAAATAGACTGCATGTGTATATAAAATATAAAACATACACATTTTTTAACCTTGAATAGTTTCTTATTAATAAAACCCAATAAAGAGTAATGGAATAACAACAGCAGAATAAATATTTCAACAACAGATTAAGTTTCTGAATCATTACATTAAAGCAAACTGACAATTAACAAACTCAGCTGAGCCATATGGGAGTCTCAACTGCTTTGGGCATTGAAGGCTATAAACAATTCCAGTTACCTCCCATTATATTCTACATTGCTGAAAAAAAAGATCTCAAAACAATGCAACAAATATACAACTGAAAGCACCTACTTGTGCATATGAAATGTATACACAAAGCCAGAGTACAGTAGTGCACATTCCCATGGGACACTGCTGAAGTGTTCCTGGTGATTCCAGGGAGATGAAGACCCTGCTGCTTGGTGTGAGTCTCATGGGGTCAGGAGTGCAGCTGGTGGCACACGGGAAGTTTGTAGGAGCAAGCAGGGGAGACCAGTTTTTACAAGAGGGGCAGATGACTTCTATTATTTAAATTCTACACAGTGTTTTCTGCTGTTGGTCTATTTTAGTTTCAGCTCCAGAAAGGGAGTTGTCTTAAGATGTAGTTCATTCTTCAAAGTTACCCTGTTTGCTTAAAGCTTTTTTTTATTTCTACCACCTTAGAATTTTCAAGATCCAGAAAATTTAATTTTTCTCCTTTCCTAGAAAGAAGTCCATCTCCTCCAATACACAGAAATGTTACCTGCACTTCCTTTTCCAAAGACAAACTTTGCATCCTTAGCCATAAGGATGCCCTAATGATATTTATAGTAAATTAAAGGACTGGCAGTAAGTAGAAAGGAAAAGCATTTTCCTCTTAATTCCCCTGAAAACGGCAATCTTAGGAAAATGTCTATGGATGGTGATTGGGATCCTCTTGTTGTACCAAGAGGAATCACAGAAACATTTCTGTTGGAAAAGGCCTTTAAGATCGAGTCCAACAGTAAATCTAACACTGCCAAGCCCTCTGTGCCACATCTGCCCAGCATGAGTGACCCCCAGGAAATCTGTGTGACAGGAAATGTGGTGACAAATCCGGTGAGGAAGATCTAGAAGTTGTGAGCGGAGAAGGCAGAAGAGCAAGAGTGAGGCAGCTCTTCCCTGTTGTGAACACGGATGGTTCTACAATCTTCCCTGGAAAGGGGAGTGATGGGAAGCAGCACTGTGGAGGAATTCAGCTGAGAGATTCTGCTGAGCAGGGTCAGGAGGGAGCAGAACAGGCTGCTCTCTGTGGTCCACGAGCAGCAGTTGCTCAAGCTGTGTGGGGTGACAACTGTAAGGGGTGAGGCAGCCGCGTAAGGCGGGACCACAAACGGGTGGTGGGGCTGACTCCAGCATGATCAGGACTTGCACTAGACAGAAGGGAATGTCTGGTTGGGAAGGTGTCCCAGACTCTGACTTACCTCACACAAAACCAGCCTCCCCTGACACTGTAACCAACCCCCTCTGCAAGGCTGTGAAGTGCAGTGAAGTCCCATCTCAGCCTGCTGTCCAAAATCTCTGTTATTGAAAAAACGTGTGGTTCTTGGTCAGGATCTGTCTGACAGCCACTGGATTTTGTCTGATGAAGGTTTCCAAGTTATCTGCTTGTACTTTTCCTGCAGGACTCAAAACACACACTGCAATGGTTCAGGGAGTAATAAACTATTTAGAGTACAGTGCCATATAATCTCATCTGACCCAAGAGACAACATTGCAATCTCTCTCTCTTGGCCCTATAAAAACCTAATAAATTTGGTGAAACACATAAATGACATTCCACCCAAGGCAGATATCTTCCAGTTCTATAATGCCTCAATAGTGATCTTTAATTGTTTCATCAATGCCTTTAGTGAATGATCTGCAACTCCCCTGCATACAATAAATACCATTTACACATCTTTCAGATTAGAGGCCTTAAAAATGGGGATTCATTTTGAAATATTTCATTATTATTTTATTGCCACTGATTGTACTGCCTTCTGTTTCTCCAAGCTGAATTTTCTGAACTGGAAGGTTATTTTTGCTGCTGTGTAGCCTCCCCCTGAGGTAATAATGTCTTACCCCAACTTCCCTCCAGAAAGCAATCTTTGCTAGGAGGTTTCTAAAGAAGCAGATCTTTCATCTGTTTGTGCCAAAAGGAACCAGGAGTAGCCAGCTGGCACTTTCCAGGAGACTTCCCTTGCTTCTGGTTTTAAGGCAGGTTGCCACATCAGTGCAGGCTGCAGTACTGAACAACTATTAATTCACACCGATATCCAGTCCCTGCAGGGGCTGGATGGATGCCTGAGCACATGGATAATCCATCTCGAGAGGAACTGTAAACTCAGCGTGCACAGAAAACAGAGCAACAGATTCAGCCTGGTTCTAAGTAAGAAATCAACCTGAGACGGAAGTCACTGTGCAAAGGGAAATCCTGGGATTTGGAACTGGGTCTGTTATCAGCAGATGCTGCTGGGACAGAAAACCAAAATCCAAAGGGGGGGCTTTGGCCCTTGCTTCAGCAGATCATGCAGCAAGAACACCACGTGCTGACCTGAGCAGGGCTGAGGTGCAGCACAGCTGTGCCAGCGTGGCTGGTGGCTGTGGGCACAGGGTGGCCTGGGGGACCTCTCACTGCTCTTTTCAACCTTGTTCTCTATGAGTAGGGATCAGCAGATCCACATCTGAGTTGGCTCATTACAGACAGCCCAAAGCATTCAGAGGAACTTGAGTCTGTCTCTGAAACAGCCGCATTTGTTGAGTTTAAAACACAAAGGTTGAGAAAGGACATGGCTACCATCAAAACAATTATCTGCTGGGTAATTATCAGGGA